TGCATTTTCATACCGCAATTCGTGCGCTAGTTTAAACAGATTCTTCGTAAATTCGGTGATTTTTTTCTTTCTATTAATGCACAACAGAGAAAAAAGATGTAGATGAAGTCAAAATATCATCTCTCTCACTCAATCCTTTTTTTCCCAAATCAATCATCTTTATGTAGATGTCGCCTGCTTCTCGGTGAGTAATTTGCGCACTAATTCAAACAGATTCTTCGCAAACAGGATGATTTTTAATGGGTTTCATTAATGCCAATCAGAGAAGAGAGAAAGATTGCAGAGATTAAGTCAGAATACTGTTATTACCTCGGTCAAGTTTAATAATCTTTAATTAACTGATCTTAATTTAGATGTCGCCTACATTTTTCATACAGTGATTTGCGCAACAATTCTTCGCAAAAACGGCTATTGGCGGAGTTTTAAAAAGGAATGTGAGTCGGGAAACTTAATGCTGTACAGTAAGCCCAGCAATTGCTTCCCCCCACACACGTCATACCATGAAAACATTTACTTTCTTTTATCCAAAAAATAATAATGAAAATAAATAAGGTGCGAATATTTTCGGGGGGGGGGTATCAGGAAGAGGGATCCCTCCAAAACAACACGGGAGCCACAGCACGAGGGGGTTCGTCACTTCCTCTTCGCATTAATTCTTCGCTTTCACGCACACAGCTTCCTCTCCTGTTTTCTATTTTCTTGCCCCCCTTCATTTTTCATCCCTCCAAAACAACACGGGAGCCACAGCACGAGGGGGTTCGTCACTTCCTCTTCGCATTAATTCTTCGCTTTCACGCACACAGCTTCCTCTCCTGTTTTCTATTTTCTTGCCCCCCTTCATTTTTCATCTTTCTTTTGGGTTGTTTCTTTTTTTTCTTCTTGTTTTTTTTTTTTTGCACGGGTGCTAACTGAGCACTCCTGTCGTCATTCCTCGTGACTCAACGCAGAAGTGCCAGTCAGTACCCGGAAGCGCACTTCCCGCGATGATCCGACCGACGGGATTATTCATCTGCTCGTTCAAATGGGGCTTTTTTTTCTTACCGGAAAAAAGGGAGAGAAATAAACCATCCGTGGATCATCACACATCCCGTCATCCATCTTGCTTTTCTCTTTTTTAGTTTTGTAAAATGAAGTGCGTTTTATTCCTAGAAGAGACTTGTTATTCGGAAACCAGCGTTTAGCATTTCAAGGCGCGTGTCATTTTCAGCATTGACACCTTGGATTTGAATATGAATCCATTGTTTCAGATCCCGAGACCAACAGAGAAATTTGAAAAAAAAAATCAGAAGTAATTCGTGCATGTTTTGGTTGCTTCATATAATAATTGATGATTAGCACAGAAATGACGTCATTAATAAATTCAAAATTATTATAAACGCCCCGCGTTTTTTCAGGGAATAATTGCGCTTTCAAATAGTTTGTAATTGAAAAATAATTCGAACATGTTTTTCAGCTTAATTTTAAGGAGGATTTTCTGGTGGAAAACAGTCAGGACCTAAATTAAAGAGATGAAATATAGTAAAATGATTTCGTAATAAGAAATTGCGGCAATTCGGGATTTTAAATTCGCCAGGCAAAGTTCCACCCCATCTTCAAAATCTAAGAAAATGGTGGCTCAAAATATACCGGTGTTAATTTCGAAAGATGAATTTTTTTCGTTTTTTTCTATTTCTTTGATCACGTGACTTGAGATTTATTACATATTAGTTATTTTTGAACGATTTAAATCTCATCAACGATCATTTTTCTCCCTTTTCAATTAAAAAAAAGGGGGAATTCGATTGATTGTGATTTTCCCGAATTAAATACTTCAAATTATCTTTCAATACTGTGAAGTTTCATAAACTTAGGAAGGATTACATCGTTTGAAGCTGTGATTCCGCGATTTCTACAGTTGAAAGCTCCTGTCCTATAATTTTTTTCATCCTCGTTTCCATACTTTTTTTGCAATTTAAAATAACCTTTCCAATATAAAATATATTCAGAACAACACAAGAGAATTTTTAAAAAGTGATGTCAGGAGAAAATACAGAGAATATCGTGAACCATGTGAAAAAGAGGGCAAAAACTGCTTTCGCCGAAAAACAATTTTTCGCTGCTTGGCGGAACTTTCATCCCAGCTTCGAGACGACGGGAAAATTTGCTCAGATAACAAAATTCGTCATTTTTCTCAGGACATATATTTTTTCTTGGCAGAGATGGAAGAAAAGGGGGAGGATAAGGAAGGACTCTGTTTTTCGGTGCGGGTATTTTAAATTTGAAGTCTTCGGATACTTTTTTTTTAATGTGTAATATTTCCTGACAGATTTTCACAAATGTTCAAGCACTGAAATGACGGCATTATCACTTCCCTGGGACGTCACTGATCACGATTTACGATGAGCTTTCGTCGTGAAATAAATCGAAAAATCAACAGAATTTGTTCGATTATGTGATAGGAAAGTAAAATACGAGTACGGTAGTTTCCGTGAGGTGAACTGAAAACTTCGACAACTTTTCCCATCTGTCAACATCAGAAACTTTCATTGCATTTTCAAGCTTCGGGGAAATATATTTCATGGAGACTTTTTTGGATCATGTTTTTCGAGATTTATTTGCGGAAATACTTTCTAAACTTTGAAAAGTCAACACAGATCAAATATCCTAAAACGGCGGAACAATTCAGAATTAGAATTTTGAATAAATTTGACAAACTACTATACTAGTGATTTTGAAACAGTTTACAAGAATTTCTCAAGGATGAACCTTTATCGAATTTAGAAAATAAATAAAAACAGGCACTATTGCACTGACGTTTCTGCCGAATTTCTGCACTAACATAAATTTTTATTTAATTTTTAGAAAGAATGGGTGGAATGATTTTGGCAGAATTGAATCAGCGAAATTTCAGTCTCGAAACTTTTTTAAAGCCGAAAAATAACGAAGCTTGAAAATGTTCGTTTCGGAACAAAAATTAGAGGAAATTGTATCAATGGCGGAAAATAATAAGCATTCTTCTTGTCGTAGAAATCTCAATAAAACTCAGACTGAAGCGACTTCATCTCCACAACGGAATACGGTATTTATGCAAATATTCTATGTGAATTTTTCAGCACCTCAAATCGAAAAAAGCTCATTGAAAATCCAACACGAACTTTCACTTGGCAAACAAATATCCAAGAATATTTATTGTTCATTCTATGACGTGCCAAAGGGCATCAATATGCAAACATTGGCACAAGCAGAGCAAAAAAAATGAGCTGCAAATTTTAGCTTCGGTCTCATTTTATTTCATGCGAAATTTAGTTTTCGACCATTTTTCACGAACGAAAAGCAAAAATTTGAAATAGGGAAAATTACTCGGCGAAACACGAGGTCGAATTCTTTCCTCGTATTTGCATTTCAAGTCGTCATTTCTAGTAAGCTGTATATTAAATTATATTATATTATACAGTATCAATATTCACGCTCAGTAAGAAATATTGTTTGATGAATTGATTGATGAATTGATTGAATGGGAGTTTCAATCACTTCAACAGTTCCACATTTGATCACCGCCTTACAAAACAATTAAATGATAACAATCCATTGAAAAATTAAATCATAATTCCTCGGGAATTTTCCTTGAAAGTTTGAATGCTGAATTTCGAGGCTTTCAACAAAGTTTAAATTTCAACATGTCTCACACAATTGTTGCGTGAATTTTGAGAATCCGCCAGAAACTTTTTTCAGCGCCGTCCTTCGACGACATCCAACGACACACACGAGGCAACATTCTTTTCCACGCACCATCAACAACGTTTGGCAAAGGGTAAAATTTCAAGACACTTTGGAAACCGTAAAAATTTTTGCACAAGTACCAAAACAATAGCAGTTGACCCCGTTCACGGATGAGCTCAGGTGAACACGAGCCGTTTCGATAATCGTCGCGTGAAAAGAAAAGGCAGAGAATAGAAAATGAGAAACACATGAACATTCGAAACTTGGCCCGAAAACTTCACCTCAACACATCCATCAAGCCTTTTTTTTTCTTGTTGCAAAAATTTCAACAAACCGCCCAAAGATTCATCAATTTTTTTTCGCGGAAATCCGCGAATTCGGAAGAAAAACTCACCTCCGAAGTCGAAATACTCCACCGACTGAATGAGCAGCATGGAAAAGAACAAAGTTTTTGTTAGAAAACCCGAGTCATTCATGATGATCCAACAAAAAGAAAAAAAAGTAAAAAACCCACATGACAGAATCGAAATTGTGGAATAAAAATAAAATGATGCAGAATTTTTCGCTCTCGATTTCGAACCACGCCCGAAAAGTCCTTCCTTTCTTTTTTTACGGTTCGTCAACTGAAATAAACGCATTTGACCCACATTTTACCGACACGTTTCCAGAAAAAAATTCCAATTCACTGGTTTTGAAAAATGCTTTGTTCGACAACCGAAAACTAAATTGCTCGCAGCTCGTCGAATATTCTCCTAGGAGAATTTTCCGGAAACCAAAGAAAAAACAAAGAAAAACGCTTGGGTTCCTTCGTTCCCGAAACAAACTTACTATTCGCAAATCCCCCCTCCCAGAAGAAGACGAAGAAAAAGAAAAAACAGTGGAAAATTGGCGCCAAGTACGACAGAAACTGCCAAAAATAATGCCTGGTGGTCTTTTTTAAAAAGGAAAAGAAAAGAATTGTTTCTCCGAAGCGGAGAACCCGAACATTACTGCTTGGCACGGGCCCAGGAAACCCGACTCCTCAACCCAGTCGCAACTCATACGTGGAGACCATTTAAAAGAATATCCCGGGAGGAAAAAATAAGCCGAGTCAAACTGCGCGCAAAAATATTCCGCAGAGAAGAAAAAAACAAATCCGGAAGCCATCTTTACAATCGTGCAGATTCGCGTCTAAAACTCGACAAATCAGGATTATTTTTTGATCGATAAAAGCTGGATCAAAGCCCCTGAAAAATAAAAAAAACTGTTTACTTACACCCTTTAAACGGTCGTGGGAACCATTTTTTCAAGATATCCGAAGAGCAGCAAGAAACTAAGGGGGAAACAGGGTGAAAAATAACTTTTACGACAAACAAAAGATTAGAAATGTCCAGACACTTTTCTTTCCCTAAGCAGGTGTTTTGCTCTAATTTTTTTCGGGACTAATCTCAATGAAAAAAAATAATTTCCAGTTAATTCTCGCATCAAAATAAAAAAAATGGATGTCAATTGAGAAACTAAGACGCGAATTCCAATATCCGTCTCTTGTCGTTTCCATCATACTTTCTTCGATTTTCCACGGAAATTTGAGTTTGATTTAGTCTGATTCAAATAGTCTCAAAGGGTACGGGAAAATCAACAAAATATTTTATTATTTTGATCAATAAAAACCTGTTTAGCAGATAATGCTGAACTCTGTTCCAATCTACATTTTAATAGAAATTAAACGGCGACCGTCTTAAGTTTTGAATGATCAGGAAACCGAAATCAATCGTTTACATCTGCATAATTCAATAAACATATATCACCATACCTTTCCATTTCTTCAAGTTTGGATCGACCTCTTTTTTTCCCAATCGATTCAAATTTCGCAATTAAACGTTGATTGATTCGTTGATGTTGAAGACGATTATTCGGAATTCTTACTTAAACCAAGAAATTTCGGATAATTTTCTTTAGCTCCCAGATGAAACAAAGGTGAATAGCCAATTTTCAGCATTATTTTTCCTGCTCCCACCAGAAATTTATAAAAATTCAGAAAATAATTACCGACATTCACCACGCTTAAAATAGGCCATCTTTCAAGAACACAAGACACTAGAATTAAACTGCATTAGATCGAATGAAATTATCAATTTTTGAAATATGTTGAAGAAGCCTAAATCACAATGAAGACAGTTTTTAAAATTCAAAAAAGGGCCATTCAACTGCCGAAAAACTCACAATCAGTCAGTAAAACTGAAACCCATTTTTCTCTCTAAATCGAATCTTCAGTTAAACAAGGGTATTCCCTTAATAAATTGAAAATCACGATTTACAATTTGAAAAAAAAAAACATTTGCCTCCACGATCGACGCCTTCGTACCGCCGCCATCGTCGTCGTCGTCGGCGACGACACCCAACGAAATCGACGCAGGGAAATTTTCGCTATTTTTGGCACGCGAAAAAAAACAAAGGTAATTTTCCTAAATAAAAAAGGGAAGATAGACTAAACGTGGAGCCCAGGGAGAACCGTTTGTTTTTCGAAGAATCTTGCAGGAAACTCCGCATTCTTTCCCCACGCGCCGGCAGTTCCTTCTCTCGAAATTTCTTTTCTCTTCTTTTTTTCTTAGAAACGTCGTTATTTCTTTCTTGTCCTATTCCCGACAACAAGGAAATGTTTAAGTTGAGGAAGAGAAAGGGGGGGGGATAGAGTGCCTATGCTCAAAGCGCTTTTTTTTTTTTTTTCGAGCAGAGCAAGAAAATTCGGTTCCAGATCATGAAATTTTACGACTACCCTCAACAGCCAAAAATCCCATTCAACAGAAAAGAATAGTCGAGGGAAGTGTCTCAAATGACGCAATTTTCAGCACATCATTCGTTCCCAACTTTCGATGAAATTCTTTCACGAATTTTGCAAAAGCCAGACACAGTAAAATTATTCGCAAAAACCTCGACAAAATATCACGAGATCCAACATTCGTAAACGTGACATTATTAACAACAACAAAATCTAGAAATTCTTTAATCAAATCAGTCCATCAGTTTCTCAGGAACACAAACCCATCCGAGTTTATTATTATTTTCTCAGACAACAACGAAAGTGCACGACAGGTACAGGGAGGAGTGGGATTCGCGTGCCAATTCTCGAAGCGTTTTTTTTTTTTTTCAAGCGGCAGAAAAGTAAATGGGTCAGTATTATGAATTTCAGACTCCGGTTGGGTTTCAACATATCACTTACACAGAAAATACACAACATCGTCAACGAAATTTCAAAATCTCATCACATCAAAAAATGTTTTACGAGAAAATAAATCTTCGCGACGAAATGTGAAAGCCAACATTGGCTTCAGGCACAAAATAAAACAACCAAGAAACGATTAATAAAAACCATGTCGTCATTCATCCCTCTTCGCAAGACGAATTTTCCATCAATTAGTTGATCAACAATCAACAATGAAATGATGACAAAAATCACTCACCTTTTTCTTGTCCCTCATGGAACCCCGGCCTCTGACCATAATTTTACACCCGGTTTCTTGTTCCAGCTGCTTCGCTGNAAAAAAACAAATCCGGAAGCCATCTTTACAATCGTGCAGATTCGCGTCTAAAACTCGACAAATCAGGATTATTTTTTGATCGATAAAAGCTGGATCAAAGCCCCTGAAAAATAAAAAAAACTGTTTACTTACACCCTTTAAACGGTCGTGGGAACCATTTTTTCAAGATATCCGAAGAGCAGCAAGAAACTAAGGGGGAAACGGGGTGAAAAATAACTTTTACGAAAAACAAAAGATTAGAAATTTCCAGACACTTTTTTTTCCCTAAGCAGGTGTTTTGCTTCGATATTTTCTGGAACTAATCTCAATGGAAAAATTCCCAGTTAATTCTCGCATCAAAATACAAAAAAAAATTGATGTCAATTGAGAAAGTAAGACGCGAATTTCAATAACCGTCTCTAGTCGTTTCCATCATATATTTTTTCGATTTTCAACGACAATTTGAGTTTGATTTAGTCTGATTCAAATAGTCTCAAAGGGTACAGGAAAATCAACAAAATATTCTATCATTTTGATCAATAATAACATGTTCAGCAAAGAATGCTGAACTCTGTTCCAATCTACATTCAAATAGAAATTTAACCGACCATCTTAGTTTTGAATATTCAGGAAACTGAAATCAATCGTCTACATCTGCGTAATTCAATGAACATACAGCATATTTCTTCTTTCCATTTCTTCAATTTTGGATCAAACTTCTCTTTTTTTTCCAATCGATTCAAATTTCACAATTAAACGTTGATTGATTCGTTGATGTTGAAGACGATTCTTCGGAATTCTTACTTGAACCAAGAAATATCGGATAATTTTCTTTAGCTCCCAGATCAAACAAAGGTAAATAGCCAATTTTCAGCAGTATTTTTCCTGATCCCATCAGAAATTTAAAAAAATTCAGAAAATAATTACCGACATTCACCACGCTTAAAATAGGCCATCTTTCAAGAACACAAACACTAGAATAAAACTGCTTAAAATCGAATGAAAGTATCAATTTTTGAATCTTTTGAAAACGTTTAAATTACAATGAAGGCAGTTTTTAAAATCCAAAAAAGGGCCATTCAACTTCCGAAAAATTCACAATGAGTCAGTAAAATTGAAACCCATTTCTTATCTCTAAATCAAATCTTCGGTAAAACAAGGGTATTTCCTAAATAAATTTAAAAATCACGATTTACAATTTTAAAAAAAAAACATTTGCCTCCACGATCGACGCCTTCGTACCGCCGCCATCGTCGTCGTCGTCGGCGACGACACCCAACGAAATCGACGCAGGGAAATTTTCGCTATTTTTGGCACGCGAAAAAAAACAAAGGTAATTTTCCTAAATAAAAAAGGGAAGATAGACTAAACGTGGAGCCCAGGGAGAACCGTTTGTTTTTCGAAGAATCTTGCAGGAAACTCCGCATTCTTTCCCCACGCGCCGGCAGTTCCTTCTCTCGAAATTTCTTTTCTCTTCTTTTTTTCTTAGAAACGTCGTTATTTCTTTCTTGTCCTATTCCCGACAACAAGGAAATGTTTAAGTTGAGGAAGAGAAAGGGGGGGGGATAGAGTGCCTATGCTCAAAGCGCTTTTTTTTTTTTGCGAGCAGAGCAAGAAAATTCGGTTCCAGATCATGAAATTTTACGACTACCCTCAACAGCCAAAAATCCCATTCAACAGAAAAGAATAGTCGAGGGAAGTGTCTCAAATGACGCAATTTTCAGCACATCATTCGTTCCCAACTTTCGATGAAATTCTTTCACGAATTTTGCAAAAGCCAGACACAGTAAAATTATTCGCAAAAACCTCGACAAAATATCACGAGATCCAACATTCGTAAACGTGACATTATTAACAACAACAAAATCTAGAAATTCTTTAATCAAATCAGTCCATCAGTTTCTCAGGAACACAAACCCATCCGAGTTTATTATTATTTTCTCAGACAACAACGAAAGTGCACGACAGGTACAGGGAGGAGTGGGATTCGCGTGCCAATTCTCGAAGCGTTTTTTTTTTTTTTCAAGCGGCAGAAAAGTAAATGGGTCAGTATTATGAATTTCAGACTCCGATTGGGTTTCAACATATCACTTACACAGAAAATACACAACATCGTCAACGAAATTTCAAAATCTCATCACATCAAAAAATTTTTTACGAGAAAATAAATCTTCGCGACGAAATGTGAAAGCCAACATTGGCTTCAGGCACAAAATAAAACAACCAAGAAACGATTAATAAAAACCATGTCGTCATTCATCCCTCTTCGCAAGACGAATTTTCCATCAATTAGTTGATCAACAATCAACAATGAAATGATGACAAAAATCACTCACCTTTTTCTTGTCCCTCATGGAACCCCGGCCTCTGACCATAATTTTACACCCGGTTTCTTGTTCCAGCTGCTTCGCTGTCATTCCTCTGGGTCCCAAAATCCTCCCGACGAAGTTGAACTAAAAAGTATTTCAAAAAGAGAAAAAAATTAGTAAAATCAAAAACTGCACTAGTTCCAAATGATCGCGGCAACTTGAAAGCGAACGAAAATCGAGGATCGAAGAATAAAATAGCAGTGTTTTTTTTGGCACTCACAAAAATACCCTCTGTTATCACAGGAAACGCGATGTAAATATCGTTGTCCCTGTTCCACTTTCTTCAGCAAAAAAAAATTGAAAAAAAGAGGGAGAAGGGAAAAATCGGCCATTTATCGATCGTTCAATTTGAACAGAAAACGAGCGGGAATAAATTTTCATTCCAGGAAACAAGAGGGGATTCAGTAAGAATCAACAGAGACGGAAAACATCAGATTGATTTACTGTATTCTTCAAATTCGAGAAAACGCGATAAATTATAAGCAAATTATTGACAAGAGTGACGATATGAAAAAAAAACAACAAAAAAACCGATTCCTCGATGATTAATTCAGAAAACAGTCAAAAATTGAGAGAAGATTTATTTCTTGAAAATCGGGGAAGAAAAAAGGACGACATAAAAACGCATTCAATCAATTGAATATTCCACAAAAAAAGTGACAAAAGGACATTTCTTGGAGAAAATAAAATTCCAAATGCGCTTTTTTCTTGGAATGATCAAAATTTAAAGCCCTGCCTCACAGCATTGAATGAACGCATGAATTTTCTTTTACCGAATTTCGTTTTTCATTCAATTTTGTTTAAAGGCATTTCCCACTTTCTGTTTTTCCTTTGTATTTAAAAATTTGAATTCGTTGACTAAATTTTTTGCACACATATCAGGCAGCTTTCACTCGCTAAAACCCAATAAATTTATCAGCCAATTCGAGAAACGACAAGAAAAATTCGTATTTCCTCGGGGAAAAATATGCGAAGTCTGATTTCTTCGATGTGAAAAAGATGCGATGTTCTCAGGAATTCCAAAAACAAAAATAGATAAATAATAATGCAAAGAAAAAAATTCCACTTTCTCGAACGACAAAAAAAAATATATATATACAAATAAAAATGTCTCTCACGGTATTCGTCTGAATTGAACCGAGATGAAAGGAGAAATCCCAGCCAACAACCTCGAGGACCCTATTTCAGGGTACTTGACCGAATGCTCACCCTCAAGTGATTCAAAAATAACCCCCCCCCCCAAACCCAAAAGACTTTCGAAGAAAACACACACGCACGGGGCGAGAGTTCGAAGTGATTCACGTGTGTGTCTTTTCTTTTATTTTTAGTTTGTATTTTTATTTCTCTAAATTTTCATAGTCAAAACTTCTCTCTTCGTCTGCCTGGAGCCCAGAAAGTAAACACCTGGCGTTGCCAGATTTTTGCATCATCTGTCTGTCTTGTCTTTTCTCTCTCTCCAAGTTTTGCACTCCCTCGTCCAACCCGTTGAGTCAGCAGAATGACAGAAAAGACCCCCCGCCGGAGTGTGACTTTCGCAAGAAAAATTTTCAAGTGAAATCAAGGGATTTTAAATCAACCAAATGATTTAGATTTTCCCGGGAAAAGTCGACGTTGTCGCCGAAAACGAACGAAGTCCACATTCTAGAACTTGACGCAATGTAAAACCTAGACATGAATCAATCAAATTGAAACGATTTGAATAAATTTTCTACATTTTGCTTCGCCAGGCATCAACTGAAGAAATTTTTACTGCACTGTTCCACCGAAAATCACAGCGAAGTTGAAACACTCACGAGTTTCGACTGATGATAAATACTGCAAAAGTAATATTTAATTCAAGATCCATGACTTCCAATGAATTTCATAACTTTTTTTTATAAAAACACGACCCAAAAAAAAACGCCATGAAGATGATTTCCAATTAATTCGTCAAAAGAATTCGATGGTGTTTTCAAATTTAAGTCATACAAATAAGTTCCTCATCATACTAGCAAAAAAAATGTTACCTCGTATTAAAATTTGCTTTAAAATTTGCTTTCATTTCAACGCCAAAATTGTTTACTCTCGTAACCAAGGGAACATGTGACTCAACACAGGCTTTGCAGACATTTTTGGCAACATTTTCGCTGTCTCTCATGTCACATGACTTTCATCTAGGAGTACTTGACCTCACATTCTCTGTAAGATATGGTACAGTACCCAAATAATTATAAGATAAGCCCCTTTGAATGTACTGTACAGTACATTGTTTTTTGCTCAGCATGCCGAACCCGGGTTATGGAGTACTGCTCAATACAGTATTTATATTTAAACCGAGCCTACGCATAAATTGTACTTTAGAATTCGACAGGAAGGTATTTTATTGGACATTTTTTTCACACTATGACCTAATTTTATGACCGATATTTCATTAATTAACAATTTTAAATTAGTCCAGAAAAAGCATAAATATCCTGAAAATTACGCAGTGAAAAAAAGGAATAATTATCAGCCAAACGAAACAGTTCTTTAAAATCTTTCAATTCGAGTAAGCGCAGCAGCTTTTCGGTAATTCGAAAAGCTCTTTTGTCAAGTAAACAAACATCAACCGAGAAATAAATTGTAAACACACACACGAAAAAACCAAATAATGCCACACAAAAACTTCGTCACTAAAATGAAGCTGGCGTTAGAAAGTCCATCGAACTCTGTTTTGATAAAACAAAAATATACCCACAATTTCAATTTATTTGCTAGAGAGAAAAACAATCGAAAAAATTCAATTCCTCGGTGTTCCAGAAACCGTGTTCAACTAAACTATACTCAACGCTTAAGACAAAGAAAGAGGAAAAAAACTCCGGTTTGAACGCTTGAGCAAATTTTCATTGATTGCAATTTCTTCACGGCATTTCCCTTTACAGAGCACAGGGCTTTTCGGTGATTTCACACAAACGGGAATTTTCAACAACAACAACCAAAATTTTTCTCTCGAGAATACAGTGAGACCCCCACATGCGGACGCCTCGACCTGCGGACAATTCGACTTAGGGACACTTTTTTCCCAGAAAAAAATTAATAAAAAAGGCCCAACATGAGGACACTGACTTGACATAGGGACATTTTGATATAAAATTGCAAATACATTTCCGGCCTAATTACAAGAAACACATATTTCCAACCCTGAAATTGATGTAAGAAAAGTTCTTGGGTATTTATCTCACCAAATTACCATCCATTTAGCTAATTTTAAAAAAAAGTACCTCCAGCATAGAGGGACTTATACTTTTTTTCACGTGAATGTTATTTTTGTAGATGCCAAAATTTCCGTGTACAGTACAGAGAATACGCTATTCAATGCTCCAAATGTTCTTATTAAGTTTAAAATGTATTCACTGAATCAAATTCAAGTGGTAAACGATTTTTTTTCAGGGAATTCTGAAGAATATTTCTTCCACAAAATACCTATCAAAAATTATATAATGTAAGTCTATGGGAAAACAAGACTCAACTTAGGGACATTTCGACTTGGGGACACTCTTGATGCACCAATTACGTCCGCATCTCGGGGTCTCACTGCATATTCCCTTCTAATGACTGCGCCAATAAATGGAAACGAGAAAACGTGAGAAGAAAACCGTCGCCTCACGATTGGGTTCCCCCTCCATCCTCATGTATAAAACACTCTCCAAACTAAAAAAAAAAAAAAATTTTACTTCAACACAAAATAAAATAAAAATATGTAGTTAGAAAGAACAATGGCAACAGGAGGAGGAGGAGGTGATGGTGGTGGTGGTGGGGGGGGGGGGGAAAGAAAGACAAGTGCCCCTATGGAACCTTAAAAAAAAAAAAAGGTCAAGCGAGATTTGTCACGCCGGTCGGGAGACCGCACGCTTCGGGTCAACTTCGTGCCATTGCACGAAATATTTCACAAAAACCGTATTATGCCTCTCAGCCGTTACAAGAAGAACCAAAGCCACTCAATAACGAACGAGAGAAAAGAAGAAGAAAAAACACATACATGGCCCAAGGAATAATTTTTTTTTTAATAGAAAAAGAGCAAAGCGGGAATTTTCAGTCTTGTCTTTTCTTTTTCTTTTTGACCAGAAGACGACCCTTAATGGGCCGTGTTTGATGCGTTTCACGCTCCATATTTTGAAACCTCCCCTTTTGTTTCAATTTCTCACGTGTGGTGAAGGATTTATCGTTTTCATTTTTCAATCACGTTGACACACACGGAAAATTTGAAATCAAAACAATAACTCAAACTTTCCTCAACTTCCTTCGGTACATATTAAACTAAAAATCGAGAGAAGAAACAAATCAACAGGAAGGATCACCCGAAAAATTAAATTCGAAGTCGACGTAGAACGGATCCATAGTTCAATTCAATATTCATAGAATTTCCAAAAGGGTAAGATTTTCGAATCAATTCAAAATGCCGGTGTTACAAATACGGTTGTAACGATTTTTTTTTCTCTCACAAAAATTTCATTTTCGCGCTTCCAGTCAAACCTTCACCGGCTTAATTAAATATGGTAAGAACGAACTTTCGAATATTACTTTTTTCAAAAGGTTTCCTGATATTTGGAAGGAATAATCAGATTTATTCTAATTATAAAATTTTTTTGACTTGACTCTATTTCTCCACAAAGAAATGCGTTGTTTTGCAGGAAAATTCATGAATTTGTTCAAGTACGATGAATCGTCTAGAGAAAATCGAGATTTGAAGGATTTACTTTTTTTTCGTGAAAATATTTCGCGATTTAACCAGAAATCTCGATAGAACGTATTTTTAAAAATTGTTGATTACCTTGAATTTCGCTGTACTGTAATGAAACTAGACCTGAAGTCAAATTTAAGGATGATTTTCTACAGAATCCAGCAAATCAACACGAAAGCTGCAGAAAATCCGAAGCTATTCTCAATGAACCAGTAAAAAAATTCAAGAATTAATTTTTCGAATTGCCTCATCCTTCCAACACTTCCAAAAAACAGAATATTGACAGTTGAAAAAATTACTAACATAAACATTCCAGAGAAAAGCAGATATTTTCCAAATTTTCATTTATATTTTTTTCTGAGAGCGTAAAATCCAAGAAAAATAAACAAATCCACATGACATTTTCTACATACAGTACTTGAGTACTTGGTCTCCATTACTTCTTATTTTGATCATTGNTGTCACGCCGGTCGGGAGACCGCACGCTTCGGGTCAACTTCGTGCCATTGCACGAAATATTTCACAAAAACCGTATTATGCCTCTCAGCCGTTACAAGAAGAACCAAAGCCACTCAATAACGAACGAGAGAAAAGAAGAAGAAAAAACACATACATGGCCCAAGGAATAATTTTTTTTTTAATAGAAAAAGAGCAAAGCGGGAATTTTCAGTCTTGTCTTTTCTTTTTCTTTTTGGACAGAAGACGACCCTTAATGGGCCGTGTTTGATGCGTTTCACGCTCCATATTTTGAAACCTCCCCTTTTGTTTCAATTTCTCACGTGTGGTGAAGGATTTATCGTTTTTATTTTTCAATCAAGTTGAACCACACGGAAAATTTGAAATAAAAACAATAACTCAAACTTTCCTCAACTTCCTTCGGTACATATTAAACTTAACATCGAGAGAAGAAAAAAATCAACAAGAAGTATCACCCGAAAAATTAAATTCGAAGTCGACGTAGAACTGATCCATAGTTCAATTCAATATTCATAGAATTTCCAAAAGGGTAAGATTTTCGAATCAATTCAAAATGCCGGTGTTACAAATACGGTGGTAACGATTTTTTTTTCTCTCACAAAAATTTCATTTTCGCGCTTCCAGTCAAACCTTCACCGGCTTAATTAAATATGGTAAGAACGAACTTTCGAATATTACTTTTTTCAGAAGGTTTCCTGATATTTGAAAGGAATAATCAGATTTATTCTAATTATAAAATTTTTTTGAATTGACTATTTCTCCACAAAGAAATGCGTTGTTTTGCAGGAAAATTCATGAATTTGTTCAAGTACGATGAATCGTCTAGAGAAAATCGAGATTTGAAGGATTTACTTTTTTTCGTGAAAATATTTCGCGATTTAACCAGAAATCTCGATAGAACGTATTTTTTAAAATTGTTGATTACCTGGAATTTCGCTGTACTGTAATGAAACTAGACCTGAAGTCAAATTTAAGGATGATTTTCTACAGAATCCAGCAAATCAACACGAAAGCTGCAGAAAATCCCAAGCCATTCTCAATGAACCAGTAAAAAAATTCAAGAATTAATTTTTCGAATTGCCTCATCCTTCCAACACTTTCAAAAACAGAATATTGACAGTTGAAAAAATTACTAACATAAACATTCCAGAGAAAAGCAGATATGTTCCAAATTTTCATTTATATTTTTTTCTGAGAGCGTAAAATCCAAGAAAAATAAACAAATCCACATGACATTTTCTACATACAGTACTTGAGTACTTGGTCTCCATTACTTCTTATTTTGATCATTGCCTAACGTCGATTATTTTCGAAAATAAAAACAGATTATTTGCGACAACCATTATTTTGCACGAAACTTGAAACTGCGATCTGCTGACTGCAAACTAATTTGATCTCTTTTTTATCCAAAAGTATAAAAGCAAGCAGCGAATCCGAGGTTAGTGCAGTAAACATTCTATATTTTATTTTTGCGATTCCTTTTGGCAGATTACAAGATCTCTGCCCAACCAGGTGTTACTTTCGCTCACTCAAGCGAGAGCAAAAAAAAAAGCAGGAGATTTATCGATACAGAGAAACAAGTGTACGAAAACATACAAAGCCACACAATCAGCATTCAGGGCCCCCAAACAAACCACTCACAGCGTAAAAATCAACCCAGATTTCCCTCCTCTCGCAATCCCAGGTCGTTTTATTTTTACATTCTCCTGCATCGTGGGTTCTTTGGGTTCCTTTTTTTTTATTCATTTCCTTCCTGTCCTTCGGGCATTTTTTTTTTCTCTTCATCGCTGCTTCTCACGCCATCCACGAGAGAGCCACGTGTTTTTAAAAGGACATTATACGACAAGTAAAACGGAAGAGAGGGAGACTTGGGACATCGACGCAGAGAACAAAAGCTGCATTCCTACACATGCAAGTGTGGGTGAGAGCAGGAGAAATTCACGACGTGTGTGTTTTTTAAGTTGTTTTTTTATGAGGAAGAGGAGAGAGTTCATCACAAAGTTCCCGAATATTTCCCCTTTTAATGGAAAGCATGAAAAATTCAATCAAGTCCTAGAATCGTAAACAAACACGGTATCTGTATGAAAAGTAATGTTTCAATAAGCACTAAGCTTCAGAAATCTGAACCTTCGTAAACTTCGCCATTATTTCTGCCAATTCCCTCACCTTGTAAAATTCATACGATGGCAACACGCACACATTTCTGTGATTTTAGGTTATATTGTTCACTTGGTAGAACTTTAATCACTGTAGAAGAGCACGAGAAATTCACGACGTGTACGTTTTTTCTCGTTCAATTTTACGAGGAGGAGAGAGTTCATCACAAAGTTCCCGAATATTTCCCCCTCAAACGCAATCATAAAAATTCGATCATGTCCTAGAAATGCTAGAATCGTGAAAAAATGGTCCCTGCATGAAAAGTTATGTTTCAATTGGGATTAAACTGCAGCAAAAGACCCTTAGAAAAATTCGCAATCAGTTCTTCAAATTCCCTTGCTTGTACCTTCTGAAATTCGTACGATGACAACATGCTCACATTTCTGAAATTGTAGGTTATGCTGTTTCCTCTTGAAATTTTAATAATGTAAAAGAGTCACTATCGCTGTCATAAAAAACTATCATAAAAATGTATTAAGCCCTCGATTAGTAAGCAATGTCTTTGAAATAACATTACTACGTTTTAATCAGCATAAAACTGTAGAAATCGATGCCTTGTAAACTTCACAATTAGTTTAGCCAATTCCCTCACCTTCGAATGTGTACGATGACAACATTTTCACATTTCTGAAATTCTCGGTTCTAGTGTTCCCGATCAAAATGTAATAATATTCAGTTATTGTAGAAGAGCAGGAGAGTTCATCACAAAATCCCCGAATATTCTCCCCTCAATCATCATAAAAATTTTGATTAAGGCTTTGAATTGTAAACAAAAAAATGTCTACTGTACAGTATATGGAAAGTATTGCTTAATTCGCACAAAACTGCAGAACTGGTGACCTTAAAAACAATCACAATTAGTTCTGCCAATTTCTTCTCCTTCCGAAATTCGTACTATGACGAAATGTGGACATTCCTGCAATTTTATTCCGTATTATTTCGTGCTGAATAATGAATTTAACCATTGAATGACCAACGAAAAAAAATCGTAAAGTACGCTGACGCGTTCGAAATTCGATAATGTTCACAATTTTACACTTGGAATCTGTCAGATTCTACGGGAATATTCATTTTTTCCTCTCTCGATGAATTAGTCATGTTGCCAGAAAAAATTTAAATCTAGACCGAAATTATTCATTGAAAAATGGAACCGCTCGCAGAGGAAGCTAGAAAGTCTCACTTGAACCCTTTGTTAGCACTTCGAAAAAAATAATAATAATAAAATCCGTACAGTCTCTACGACTTGATTGACTGCTTCGTGTCTCTAGACCAAAAAAATAAATATATAAAAAAAGAAACGCATGCAACCTACAAAACTTTTCAATCAACCCCGGCCATGTTCGACATCACAACGCGTGGCGAAGAATACTAAGATAAAGATGGACCCAAGTGCCAAGACGGGGCTTTTCAGTTTTTCATTTTNAATAAACGTGAAATTCTCCGACATTTCGGGGCCGCAAATCCATCGCGAGAACACGATTTTTCCACAAGACCCACTTCCAAAGAAAATATTTTCAAAAAGCTTCTCCACGTCGATATGGGGGCTTTGATTTATTAGAAAAAACATGCCGGAAGATTAAGAAATACATAACGCTTGAAAAACTGCAAATGCAAAAGAAAATATCATACTGCACTTGAAACAACAACAAAAAGAATTGTGCAAAAACTCACGTCGGGATGTTCTTTCACCGGCACGTAAACCTTCTCGGACAAGGTCATCATCGGACCATCGGGCTCCGGCAAATTCAGCGGCTCCTTTTTGCACTCGCTGATTTGAAACAAGTTCCCTCGCACTTTCCCAATTTCTGTGCAGAAAAAAAACACGTGATAAAGTTTTTAAAAAATACATTCAAGACACGAGAGAATAAAACAGTGTCCTCGCCTGGGGGCTCTTTTGGTGATAGAAATAAATGCTCGAAAATAGTAGCGAGCGAGTCTCAAAGCATATATATTTTAATTGCTGACAAAATTGTGTCGACCGGACACAGGAATTATTCCTCGCCCTACTTCCGGTTTTGTCGGTGTAGCTGAGAACAACTTCTTCTGGCAAACAAACAAAAATTAAGAAAAAATTCCTCACGCAGTTTTCGTGGAATTTCGTCAAAGTAAAATACTGTGCTGTATCATGGCGCCCCGAGATGCGGACGCTATCTTTGCTTGGATTTTGCCACTATGTCGGAGCGTCCGAACGTCGAATCAAGCTTGTTTTTTTTTTTTGCTTCAGTGGAGAATATTCAATTGGTTCTTCTTCTCGTCACAAAATTGGGAATGAAGTCCCCAAAAATTCGAATGAATTTTTGTCTCAATTTTGAGATAAATAAAATAATGGTGCAGAAGATAATCGCACGAAATCTGCTCTTTTGGCATCAGAAGGAACTCAAAAATCATACAAAAAGACCTCATGATGAAAAAGCTTGGGGAAAATAAGCACAACATCATCCTCCTTCTGATAATGAATTTATGTAATTTTTCATGAAATTGACTTCTACATTTTTCGAATGTAAAAAGTTGGATTTATTCAAGAGAAATCAAAATTCAGAAAATGAAATGTTCTTCAATTTTTCGAAGAACGTTGGAGAATTGTCCGTATCTTGAGAAATTGTCCGGATTCGTGGCAGATTTTCTTAGTTCTACCTGTGCCCAAGTTGATTCGTCCGTAAGTCGGGGGTCCCACTGAATACGCCCTTGACAACGAACATTTTAGCAAATAAAAATAGCTCTGAAACTCGCATCAAATTACTTTCACAGTAGTCTAGCCATAAGATTCGAGTTCATAAAAATGCGTACCCAAGTGACCTAGTTCCGGGTACTGACAAAATTCCCGAACCATCCCAGCATAAACTGACAAACCCCAGCTCAGTAAACATTTAAGCTGTCGATTTTTCGTGAAAGGGGGGGGGGTTTGAGAAAACTTCACTTCGGTCATTTGTTCAACAATAAAAAAAATTGAAGGGTCGAAAATCATCAGACGTTGATTTTTAATTTTCTGTACAAAACTTCGCAACACTTGCGACATCAAAAGGAATTTCTCAAGTCATTCATGGGGGACACAAGAATTTTCATCAGCATTCTTTGAAACCCACCCCCCTTTTCTTTCCGGGTTCCCACTTACAGCTACATCACATAAAAATTCGAAAAGCAAGAGAAGCTTGAAAAACGAAAAGAAAAACTGTGTAATCACCACCTTTGCGCATACGAGAGTCGACAGTTGTAATCCCAAAAAGTTGGCTGAAATTCAAGTATTATTTTCAACACCTATCAAACGCCTACTGCAGGCACGGAATTGAGATTTCTGCCAATTTTTTGCAGCGTTGAATCGTCAAAAATCACGTACTCAGAGCAGCAAGAGAGTCATTCGCAATTTATTCGAGATGACGAAATAAATCACCGAAGATGAGAATTAAGAACAACGTCGGAATTTATCACAAATTTAACGAATCAAAAACTTGGGACACCTTCACACCCGGAAATTTTATAAAGAGTAAAACTTATAGATGAAATTAAGTTTTCCAGGATAGAAACGAACTCATTTAAATAAATAAACCTCGAAACAGCATCAATTTAAAACACCGAAAATGATAATTAAAACGACTTCGGAATTTATCACAAATTTAACGAATAAAAAACTTGGGAGACCTTCACACCCGGAAATTTCATAAAAAGCAAAACATATAGGTAAAATTAAGTTTTCCAGGATAGAAACAAAACCCATTTAAATAACTTGAATCTCGTGTCACTTTCGAGAAAATTGGAAGAAAATCAGACTTCAGAATAAACAATGACACTCCAAAAATACTGTTCGAGGGTTTTTCAACGCTCGAAAGTAACGTTTTCAGAAAAAAAGTACGATGCAATCAATTCATAATTTCACACCGTAATTCATTTCTATTGCTTTGATAGACGTTGAAAAGAATACTTGAATTTCAGCAAATTTTTTTGTTATTAAAACTGTCGACTGTCGTATGCGTAAAAGTGATGATTGCACAGTTTTTTCTCTTCGTTTTTCAAGCTTCTCTCGCGTAAAATCGTACTTTTATAAAAATCAATAATTTTTCAATGAACCAACAAAACAGTAAAACTCCAAAACACTTTTTTTTTAAGTATTATTCTTCAAAATGCAGAAGAGTTTTTCCAAAGCTCAAAAGATGTGGTTTTTTTTCTTCCCTCTTGCCTCGCTAATGTTTACATTCCAAATTTGAAAAATTTTTTTTTTCAAAAGTTTAGTTCTAGTCAGTGAAGTAGGAAGCGTCGCAAATAAGTAAGAAGAAAGAAGCGTAAACGTAAGCAGGAAAGGGAAGTTCTAAGCTTACGAGCGCCTAAATCCAGTCCTCTAATGACTCGATCACGGCGGGTCAAAAAATATCGGTGCCGGCGGGAAGAAATCCGAGACTGCAAAGCTTCAAGATGAAAATAAATACAAAACCGAACGTTTCGAATGCTCGCGGATTTAGGTCAGGAGAAATGACTCGATCACGGCGGGTCAAAAAATATCGGTGCCGGCGGGAAGAAATCCGAGACTGCAAAGCTTCAAGATGAAAATAAATACAAAACCGAACGAAAAATCGCTTTTTAAAAAATCAGGTTAAATCCGAAATCTTTAAACAATTTCGAACAGACTCAATTGTCTCGTCTTTTTGCAACCGTTCAAAAAATAATGATACAAAATTGCGATAGAGCCAGCCAAAAATTTCGAGTTGGGGGAGTTTCCGAGTTAGAGAAATAAACATTTGTCTTTGAGAATAGAAAGATGAAATTACAGGATATTGTCATTTTAGGTATTGAATTTATTGTTAAATAAGCTAACCTTGGAGGAAAGAGTTTATTTGCTCAATCAGTTTTTTCACTTCTTTTTTCTTTCAGCACATGAAATTAAATTTTTATAGCTTTTTTCCATTTCCTGTGTCTATAAAATATTATTCGGAAGGCCTCCAGAAAAATTCTAGTTGTGAAGGTTTTTTAATTTCATTATCTCCAAGAGAAATCAAACAGGAATTTTTACAAAAAAATCGACAAAGGAATGCTTTAAATGCACTGTATTTCAACAGGAACCCCGTGGGATTTAAAAAGGCCAGCGGTTTTACTGCGTACTGCAAGAAAAAAAGCGAGTTGACGATAAAGTAAAAAAAGTTCAGAAAACTTTTCTTCACTACTTCTCTTTCGATTTATCTCTTCTCTCTCTCCTTCTTTCAGAGAGAGAGATTCCACAGAAGTTCTTCTTCAGGCGACCAGATCTTCTTCTGAGTTGTAGGACAACGTAAGAGCCAGTAGCGTACAGGTAATTTTGTGCGCCCGGCTACTATCGAAGAGATAGAAAGAGAGGTTCCCTCAGGTCGTTGAAATGGGTGTGGTATGTGTGTGGCACACAGGGCTTGCCGGTGTAGCAGGACTTCAAAAATAATTTTCAACTATTTTTTTAAGAGAAAAAACATAGCAAATTAAAATATTGTATAGAAGACAGCCCAAAGATCATGGAAACTGATTTACAAAACATTATGTACATTTTCCCCCCTGATTTGTGTCATGAAAAAATATGGAAACCCCCTTTCTTCAATTTATGAACAACTTCGGTGTAGCAGGACTTCAAAATTTTTTCCAACTATTTTTTTAAGAGAAAAACATAGCGAATTGAAATATTGTAGAAGACAGCCCTCAGACAATGGAAACTGATTTAAAGTACATTATGTACATTTTCCCCTCTGATTTGTGTCATAAAAAAAATAATGAAAACCCCCCTTTCTTCAATTTATGAACAACTTTTCACATAGTGGATACTTCTGATGTCATTATCAAGTTCATATTTTCCCAACCCTTTCTGAAATCATACATAGAGGATCAAGATAAACTTTTGGCCTTATATGATTCAGCAAAGATTCTCTCTGAATTGTTCATTCAACTAAACCTTATCTGGTAACAGACTGAAGACCTTGTGTTTTAAATTGGGTTCAGCAACTGCTGCAATTGCTATAATTCTGGCTCATGCTGCAATTCTTGTTACTGATATTTTGTTTTCAATGTCAGGGAAAGAAGGGGGGTGTATTCATACACATCAGTGGTGCAGTTGTACAGTGGTGGAATGTAATATTCTTTTATTTTGACATCCATATGCAGCTTTTCTCTGTGTTTCCCATTCTGAAGTGATTGAATGTGTTTGAATGGATTTGGTTTTGGATGTGGGATTGTTGATTGAACTTTGTCAATGCAGAAAAGCGGAAAAAGAAGCTTTCTGTTCGTTCATTCATTCCCAACCCTGCATTGTCAGAAGATCAAGTGCAAATCTGATCTCACTTATTGACCTGCTATCTGACAAATCATTTCAGCAGTTTGCGAGGCTCAACAAAATTAAGCATCACTACTGCATTTAATTTCAAGGTCCTCTAGTTTTTTGAAATCATCTGAGTTTTGTCAAAAATTTTTGAATAAAAAATAACTATTTTTAAAAAACGTACACGCGAAGGTTCTTATCCATGTAAAGTGGCTGAGCCTTTCGCGCGCCTCTCTACAAGCGGAACAGCCACTTCTTACAACTAACCGTACTGTTACTTTTCCTTTCTTTCTT